CCGAGACACTACCAGTGTCTCCAGATACACAGACAAAATATTTTGTTATATATGTTGATTTTAAATAAAAAAATCAAACGTTTGTTAAATTGTATTTCCAGCTTGTACCAGGGCCGCCGTTCGTATTTGGTGCGTTACTTGTGATCTGCGCGCTACTAGTAGCCGCATTTATTCCTGAATCAAATACAATGTCAACAGGATCGTTGCATCACCCATCCACTTCCCGGAGGCCCTCCGGTAAATACGCATATCAGAAATGTACGTTACAGGTTGTCAAATATGCTAAAATGCCAAATATGCTTATGGTGATGGGATTCATCGAAAATTATTTTAATTATAATCTTTATGGACTTGTTGAATGAACAATATGAGCATAATGAGATTTATGCGAAAAAATTTTACTTACAAAAGTCATGAGATACATGCAGCAAGTTTTACAAATACCATGTTTTACTTATTATATTGAACAATGTAAGGCTCAAAGTGCTTATTATTTTAGGTTTGTCCTTGGACGTTCAATATGAGGCAGACCGAGTAGGAAGTGGAAGAGGAAAGATCGGTCCGCTATCACCACTAGTCGACAATTGTAACTCCGCCGCGCTATAATGTCTATTGAAAAATGTAAGACAAGCCATATAGTACACGACGAGAATACTTTAGCCAAGCGGTAAAACTTCACCCTTAATCAGAGGTGAAAAGGTCGTTACTGTGAAATGCACCTGATTCGATCAGGCGACTGTAATAGAGTTGTCTATATTGTATTATACTATTTGTTTAAGACAGTAACTAAGCTTGATTTTAGGACTTATCGATGGAACTTAATGTTTAGGTTGTGACAAACAATTTGCACAAGCAGTGCTTGTGCGATAATACCGTGGGTTGATCTCAGAGTCGAGTATAATCGTACTACAAGCGTGTTGCGAAAAACGTAACATTAAATTAGATCTTCCTTTTCAAGATTCTTGCGCCGACTATTCAATCAGATGTAACAATTTTATGCGAAGTAAAATCAATGACTCTTTACGCAGCTCGCCAACGGCACAAAACATCAATGAAAACTGAAAACCTGTATTTTACTAGAGTTATCTTATGAATATTTGATCCTTTACTTTGATGTCGTATCCTTTTCTTTTGTTACTAATTTATATTATCACATTTTATATCAAGTGCTAATGTAAATTGTGCAACATATTTTTGCATCTCCGTACATTCGTAGCACTAGAAATAGCTTTTACACATTCCTTGTAAGCATAATTTTTGTATACAAAAGCAGCATTAATTGACAATTGAAAAGGATGCAAATTCTTTAAATCGTATTTTCCTTTTGTACAGGTATGATATAGTAATTATTACTTATCATTCTTGTATGTCATAATTTATCTAATATTCATAGATCATGCGACTTATTTCTTTTTGCACAAACTATTTATTTTAATTCATAGAAACTATAAATATAACGAGAAAGGCCTCAATGCTAGGAACAAGTTATACAAAGTGATAGTTTGTCATTTAAAGACAATGGTAGACATTAACACTATGAGTAAAATGAAATATTAAATTATTAATTGAGAATCAATAGTTCTCTTAAATTATGTGTGTTATAATCGGAATCACATTGATGTTAAAATGAGAAAAAAACGTTTTATAATAGAATAGAATCTTGTATATATATTTTGCTTCTATTTTACAAAAATATCAAAACTTTTAGGAGAAATATGTTTTAATACAGTAGTATTCATTTATATACATATAAAATTTTGATTGTTTCTTTTTATGCGATTTATCTTTAATTTGTGTTATTATTAGTATGTTTATGTAAAATACCAATAGCGTGTTTACATAAAAAATACAACCATTTTAAACTAACTTGTAAGAAACGAGAAATATTTTTTTTTTTTTTTTTTGGTTTAGTTATACTGAATTGAATCTTAAAGTCATTATGCTCTTAAATTCGATTAGTCTCGATAAAAGCCAAAGAGTGATTAATGACAAATGCAAAATAGTCGAAAAATAATAACAATAATGTGCAACGCGCCCTTACCATAAATTATTAATTTCGTAAATTTTGATATTTGCACACGTTTGTGATTATCTTTCGGAAAAAAAATTCGAAGCTACATCAATTATTTGATGGATATTTATTGGATGATATTAATACTGAATCGTTTTATAAATAAAAGTAATAAATATGTATTTTATACATATTTAATACTAATTCTTTTTTTATATAAAGCTGTTTAAAACAAAACAAGATATTAAAGGTTTCAGTCGATATGGCTTATAATCTTTGTCGAATATATTGAAATTACGTGCGTTTTCTAGAACATAGCTGTATTACAGTAAAGTATTACAGAACGAAGTAGAAATCGTGAACAGATGTATACAGTGCTATTACGGTTCTATAGTTTCTGTTTGTATTTCCTTAGAGTTACTTACGAACTCGCTCTCGTACACTGAAGTAAATATATGCAATTGTATTATAAATATACAAAACAAGCAGGAATATTATAATATTAAGAATAAAACATAGAATAAGTCTTGACTCTATCACGAGTTAAGTAATTGTATATGTATAATGTACGATGAATGCATTAATAAAAAGTAATTATTTTTAAGATAAATAAAGGTATCACTTGTGCAAATTTCACACTTATGCGATATAAAATATTAAACTATATATATACTCAGTTGAAATATTAAGCTAAAAATATTTGAGACGTTCCATATTCAAATAATAAGTCAATCGTGAATTTGAATATTGGCAAATAATTTAATGAAAAAACTTTTATTAAAATCGCATTATTTTATATACAACAATAAGTAATTATTTAAACAATACGTAATTATTACAACAATAAGTAATTATTTAAATTTCATATTTGTATTAAAAATGTGACGAGCACCTTCTATAATAAAAATTGGCATACCGTTTTATAATCAGATTAATCTTTTTTTTCTGTCTTCATAACATCTTTAATATCTTTATATTTATTGTACTTATTTCGTTGCAATTATTCCATAACATCTAGGAGAGAGTGTTGGATCAAACAAACGTATTACAGCAACCTTGGAACACTTGATATTATTTTGTAAAAATATTATTCTATCCAACATGATTGCCGCTTCCACTACCGAGCTCATATATATTCTCAACATTTGAAACAGACGCAACCTTGATTCGAAGTGTATGTGATTCTGATATATTTCTTGCAATACATATGTGGGTGGTATCTAAAATCATATATTTTATAAAATTTCTGTATGATATATCAGAACAAATGAAAAACTAATACGTACCTGATTCTTATCCACTCCGATTTTGGATAGCGCGCACTTTGCGTAGTCCGCGAAATTATTCAGTGGTCCACCACGTCCTACTTTAGCATTGTAATATCCTATTAACAATATTATATAAATAGCAATCGATACGTTGATACAGAATAAATGGATGTCAAGATTTTCGGTCATTGAAGCAAAACTTGTGCCTAATTTGTACATTATATATATACATTTGCTTTTTACTTTAAAGTGATTACTATTCAGTCTTGAAACATAGTTTTATGGTAAAGCCAAAATGAAATATTAGGGATATAATATCGCGTTATTAAATCTAAGACATAAGAGCTTATCCAATGATCGAAAATATCAATACTTAATTATATTTATGTTTCACTATATCTATACTGACCCATTGAATGTAGAATAATTTGCAGCACAGCTCTATAAAATAACGAAGGAGAAAGATGCTTATTATATCTACTTCTTTCGATAGACTGTTGAGCTAACATTCTGGCATTTTTACTGAAATTCCAGCGTCCGCTCAATGTTTCATTCGCTAAATGATAACAGCATGGAACAACAAGAAGTAAATTAATGTCCTTCGCATGTAGGAAAGCTTTAATTACAGAATGCACAAGCATTCCACAAGTGTGCAATCCTGTCAAAATGAGATTTTCGTTTACACCCCAATCAGGATAACACGTATTCACCATTTTGTTATAATTAGTCGTGTCGTCTAACTCTTGAACTATATATCGAATCTGAAAGGAACATGATAATTTTTTATAACGTTATGATAAATAATAATATAATATAAAGTCTAATTTTTTTTACAAACCTTCGTTAGCGTTCGTTTCCTTTTCTGAATCTTTTCCTGACGACTTATTGCACCCTTGTGACAAACTTGCGACGAATCAATTGCTAATACAGGAATGTTAAAATGTTCTGATAAATATGTCGACAAATACGCCTTTCCAGCTCCGGCGTCTATTACTAAACTGCGAGTGGAAAGTGCTATCTCGGCAATAACTTTTCCAAGCACTTCTATTTCATGTGACTTCTTTGTATTCATGAGCTCAGATTTTGGATAAACAAATTTGTTTTCAATCAAACGTTCCATGGAAGACTGTGGTAATAGCTTTGGCAAATCATTCACGCATATAACAGCTGGACATGACTCTAAAGAAAGCGATTTTGTTAATTGTATGAAACTACTCAATTCTGAATCTATATTGTTTTCTGCCCAGATATCATCGTTCATATTAATATTTTCAAGTTCTGATCTTAATTTCTCTGGTAAGCATTTGTCCCATAATCCCTCGGTAATAAAATCAACTAGATGACAATCTATCAATTCTTGATAGATATTAATAAAATCCAGCGCTTTCTCAAAGTGCTGATTATATTCTGTTATCATTGTTGTATTAATTAAAATTCAAGTCTATCTGTTTCTGGATATAGCGGACTAATTTTTGCTAGCGAACAGAATTTGGCATATTTGAACTTAATATCTTCCACAGCCTGCAGAATGTTCAGATTGTCATCCTGGTGATTGGGAAGAGTGCTGCGAATATCTTCTAAGAGCTTCTTGGCTATCGTCATCGCTTTCTCGCATTTAGCGATATCATTATTTTGTAAATAGTGTTCCAATATTCCGCTGTAATATCCTAACCGTGCAGCAATTATGCTGGCTCTGTGATATCCGAGGTGGTATCCCTTTAGTAGCTGTTCTCTGCCACTCTCATAGCCTTTCTCGTAGCCTGACTTTTGTGCGATTTCTTCCGCGAACAATAAATCTTCAAAGACTTCATTTACATCCAGATCTTTTTTTTCCTGGGACATAATTATATTAACTAAAAAAAGACAATCACATAAATTATACGCGTCATTATATCTCATCACACACAAGGAAATATCTTTATTATAATCCACACTCTACTTATTCTACTTAATTTAACAAATTATAACTTACTGTACTTATTTCATTTACTTTTTAGTTAATTGTTATAATACAAAAAAAATTAATAAAAGAAAACTGTTGTAAGAAAAAAGAAGCTTTTTTTATCAATTACTGTGTATAAAAAGGATATTAATAAGTAACAAAGTAAATCGTGATGCTTATTAAGTAAATCAATGTCTATAGAACTGCGGATAGTGTGGATACGGATGTATATATATATATGTATGTAGAATTATAATGCAGTGACACACGGGCGTGGCGACAATGGATAAATAATTTTATGTGTGTATCGTGTATAAGAAGAAAACGTGAATCTTCTCAATCTCAGCGAACGCAATATGACGTAAATTCAAACTTTTTTCATGATAAAACTAACAAAAGCTTACACGAGCACAGTAATCTATGCGGCAGAGTTTCTAGGTTATACGCATTACACGCATATATGTGATATTGTTGTGTTACGTGTCTACATGTGACAGGTACAGAACGTAAATATAGATTTTGCTGTGAAAGTGTATTCCACACCTGATTATCTCCTTTAATTTTAATTAAATTCTCTTCTATCTATTTCTACTTCGACGAGACTAGAAAGATGACGGATGAGCGAAATTTTCGTTCGCAGTATTATGAAAAGGTGACGCTCCAAAATCCACTTGCTCTTTAAATCGAAGCAACAATTATATACCACTGTAGAAGAGTTCTCTATCAGATTGTCATACGATTAAAATATTGCTTTTAAATGGCAGGTTGGTTTCCGCAGTGTCGAAGAAAAGAAATCTCTGGAGATATTGTTAAAGGAGCGCCCGCTTGACAAGACAAAGTTAAAACAGTTTTGTTTAAGATTCACTGTACCTGCTATGTATAGAAATTTCTTATGGAAGGTCTTACTCGACGTTATACCAGTTTATTCGGAGAGTCAGGGATTTATAATGGCTCAGCGCAAGGCAGAATTTCAGGATTTGCAGAGAGCACTGAGAGTCGCAAAGATTATAGACGACTTTACGAAACCTCATCTAATATTTTTAGCAATGTGGTTGTTACGCAAAAGAAGAGCAAAAGTTGATATGGCTGCTCAATTGGAATCGCCGTTATACAGGTTCACATTACAGTATTCAATATTAGGTATTTCACAAAATCATTTTAAATTAAATATTTTTATTTTATAAATTCTAATTGAAATCTATTTTTGTCTAATTTGTCTTAAAAATGTTCTGTCTTGATTTTGAAGGATGCCTCGGCTGTATAAATTCATAGATTCATTTTTTGTACTCATTTTGTATGAACTCAAAAAATATTATAATAAACTTTTATCTATTTCAGAGCTATGAGCAAAATGGCTGAGACACTGTGGTATGTGATTGATGTTGAATCAGAAGAAGAGAAACTAG